GATGGAGTGTATGGTTGGAGACGCACGATTGATGAGGCCGTACATTTTGAAAGTATTGTGGATTTGAGCGTAGTTTTGGTTGATGTATTAGACGAAAGAAAAGAGTGGTACGGAGAGTAGGTTGAAGAGGTGGAAGCAGTCGCCGGGAGACGAGCGGGAGAGACCATCGTGGGAGAGAGGGTGGAGTTGGGTCGCAAGATCAGCAAGAGGAAGGAGATAGGTAGAACAAACAGGACTAGGAGAGAAAGAGGCGGAGACGAGAGGGAGAGGGAGAGGAAAGAAAGACGACTTGGAAGAAGAAACACGACCTGACGCACGGTCTGGGAGGGTTAGAAGATAGAGAGTGCGGGTACGCAGAGAAGGCATTCTAAGTAGGAGTAGGTATAGGCAGTAGCGAGTAGAGAGCTAGGTAGAGAGGAGTACGATATGAGCAGCGGGTCTGGATGGATCAATGTACGAGTCACGAGAGATCCGGGTGAGAGAGAGGGATGACGACGGGAGAGAAGACGGCGAGAGTACGAGAGTAGGTGATGTAGTCGACGCGGAGAGAGAGGAAGGGGTAAGAGGGAGAAAGAGAGGGAGGGATTAGTAGAGGGTCACTGGAGGAGGGGAGAAGGTAGAGAGAGAACCGAGAGGAGGGAGAAACGAAGAAGGGAAGAGAGATGACAGAGGCAAAGGGAGAGGCGAGGGACGCGAGAGAGAGGGAGAGAGAGAGAGAAGGGGGAGAGCGTAGAGGGAGAGAGAGAGAGCGGAGAGAAGAGGGAGAAAAGATGACAGAGGGAGAGAGATGCAAGGAAAAGCAGAGAGAGGAGAGAGTACGTGAGGAAGAACGCGTAGCAGACGGGAGATCATCATCGCGAGCGCGAGAGGGGCGAGACGATGGGAGCAGGCGATGAGCAGAGAGGAGTCAGAGGGAGATGTAGATGGGAAGAGACAGTAGAGAGTAGCGATTACGTACACCAGGGTTCACATGATTTCTCTGACTATCTCGCACATTGTTCAAAAACTACCAATTTAACTTAAACTCTCAATTGTCCAGCATCTCGACACTTTCGAGGAAGTGCATTGACTCATTGTTGATCTAACCACACTGCACGACAAACTTCATGACGTCTCCAAACGCTCTCCTTGTATTCATCTTCCTAATCCAGACAATTCCTGGCACTCTCAATGCCCCGAAAACAACACTCAGACTCTGAGCAGCTCGTTTTTGATAAACATTAAAAACCTTTGTTAGAGGTTGAGTCAAGTGCACAGTCCCAGCGGTTTCTAGACGGTTCTGACGCTCCCATGTACATGAGTGCCAGTCCTCTCTTGTCGACCTCCAGGGACTGAGTCGCTCTGACCTTGTAAGGATGTCTCGTCACTCCTGTACGCCATCGAGAGAATCCGCAGTCAGCTCCTGCCTTCGTTTACAGCAGAGAGCCGAGGTCACGTGTGGTCGCGCCAGTGTCTGAGGTCTTGTGCGCTCGCGTGGGGCCGAGCACGGTCGACTGTGCTGTGTCGGGGGAGGACCCAGCTGAGGTGTGTGTGTCGTGGGGGGACAGGATGAGTGTGTGGTCGGGGGGGACAGGTGAGTGTGTGCGTTAACGGCGGCGACGGGCGTGAGGTTGTGGTTCGGTGGTGGGGGGATCAGGTTGTAGTGTGGTGGTGGTGCAGGGACATGGTGCGGTGGGTCGTCGGTCGGGGGAGAGCAACAGGTAGATGGTGTGGTCGGGGTGGTGACGAAGGTGAGCTGTCGTGGTTCAGGACAGGTTCGAGGTTGGTAGGTCGGTCGAGAAAAACGGGGAGGTCGGGAGGTGGTGGTCGGGGGGAGCAGGTGACGCGGGAAGTGGTGGCCTTTGCGGGGGTGAGGCAGGTGAGGGGTGTGAGAGCACGCGGGCGCAACAGGATGGCGGTGTGGTCTGGGGGGTGACACGTTGTGGGGGATAGGTTGCCACAACCAACTCTTCCCTACATCACGATAGTTATGAGGTCACTCTCAGCGAAAGGAAAAGAAGATCATCGCACGCTTTGTCGTATTTCATTTTGATTTAGGGTTCTTCCTTTCATTTCTGAGGTGCAAACTAGAAAAAATAACCTCAAAATTTCTTTATTACTCTAGGGATGATTTGTTTTGGGTGTTTGTAAAGAAAAAGCAGGGCCTCTAGAAGACAACAACAATCTCTGCGACCCCGGCCCAGTACCCTCGTCCTCTCAACTACAGTCTCACGGAGAACTATATTAGTCTCTATTCTTATTTTTGGGTGGCACGATTGGTCATGTATTCAACCAGGTGGTCAGGGCTTAAGTATTGCTCCGATAGGCGTGTGATTCTTGCGTGTACGATGAGTCACCGGCCGTCACCTTCTTGGTCAGTTTGTTCATTTGTTGGATAAGAAAACCACAGACATCTTCCGAATGCTTCTGGGATGCGCAATCAGAAGAACTCTTTATGACACACGAGTGTTGATGTCGATCTGAAATGAGTCTGTTGCAGCTTCGCATTTTTAAACCAGGGCTAGATGGCGCGATCAGTAACACACAAATGCTGATTAAACCTGTTATCGAGGGTCTGTCTACAGTCAATACCACTGGGGGACTCAGTCGCAGTGGTCGTGACCTCAGGATCTTATGGACACAACTAACGTCCGGAGGTGAAGCATCGGTTCTAGAAAGGCGGTACCATTGGCTCTCGTACGGGTCGGGAATGTACAGATGAGTGACAGGAGGACTACGTCTTGCTGCCAGGTAGACATTAGTCATGTGCGCAAGGAGCTAGATGTCAAGCAGACAAACGCAGGGTCTAGACCCCGACGAGGGATGTCCCGGGTCGTGTTACCTGTAAATGTATTGGTGTCGAGAGAGAGGCGATGGAGTCCACGCAGGGTGGGTCCGTCACGGAGTGTTGGAACCCAGGCTATGTCTTGCACCCGGCCAAGAGACGAGGCTAGAGATCGTGCGAGGACAGAGTTGATGGGGGGCAGAGGGAGGCGCGGCGGCGAGGGGAGACACGACGGAGGCCCGCGAGGAGCTGTGGAGGGGCTAGGGTCGGGCACGAAGGAGCGAGTGGACAAGGTACGCCTAGGCGCGCACTAACGCTTCTGATGTGTGGCTGACCTCTGGCACCTCCTTGTGGACAGGAAGGCGGCGATGGGAGCATAGCAGAGACGGTAACCACGTGAGAAGCGAGCGCTGCGAGAGAGGCGAAGCGGACGCTCCACGGAGCTGAGAGGACTCTTCACATTCCGGAGATAGGGAGCTTGGCATCGTGAAGGTACGTGGGGGAATACGGGGGAAACGCCTGGTGCGACTGCGGCGGGTTAGCACCTGAACGCAAAGAGGAGAGGGACAGGAATGAATGACTGGGAACTAGCAGAAATCAAAACCCAAGTGACCATAATTTGGGCTCATGTTCTGAACGTCTGACTATATTACTAAAAACTATCTCTAGGTCGTAGTTTACAAACACCATGGTCTACAGACATGTCGTCAGAAATCTGATGATCAAGCTTTAGATTATCTAGATATAAGAGAGTGAATTACATTATCGGTTCTAGCTTCATTACTTGGATCATTGGGTGTCCCTAGAAAGAAGTTCGCAGGTTAGCTGTGACCGGCATTTGCAACTCATCGCGGCGTCAAAGGGTCGCAGAGGTATCTTACCATCGGTCCGTGTTGCCCACGGTCATCCACAACGCGGACGAGCTCCTATCGCCGGGAGCAAACTCCAGGCCGTCCAGGCACTGGGAACTGTAACGCAAAGCCTCGGCACGGTTAGGGGCAGGCTGAGCCTGTAGCCCCCGTTCCACGATAATGGTCACGAGAGACCAAGAAGGTCCCTTATGATCGGACGCTGGAGTTAATTTCAGAGAAGGACTGAACCACGAGGTGCTCGTTGTTAGCTAATGCAGACGCATCCGTGCATCAACGGTATACACCCCCGGTTTGGCAGTCGCTCATATCGTCTCGCTGTAGTTGTATGTAACCCTTTCAGTAGTTGTCTACTCTCTATCCATGTTATTATTCCAGTAGACTGTCAGAAGATAACTCGTAGAAATTCAACGACGCTTAAGCGACAATACTTCACTAATACAGAGACTGGTTACTTGATAATCGCACGAGGAGTCTTCATTCAGATATGGATACATGCCGGGTACCTACGGCTGTTCAACTCGTCAGGAACAATACAACAGAGACCGGCTCCGCAAACACGAAGGCCCATTGTACTACTTCGTGAACTAAGTGATCGGAAGCCGTGTGCTCGGCCTCGAGATGCTTATTGTGGATCATCCGTAGGAAATACTGTGAAAGAACACGCTCAAATATCATACGACTGAATTCTGCCACTGACTCAGTAGAGGACAAGAGACAGAGTTTTTGACATGACCTCAGTTTCTGTTTGAGCATCACTGAAATCCTGTGTGTAATTCGGCTATTGCCATATCTCCACATAGAGAGCTCAGATGTGAGAGTGAAATCACAGCACGGCCACTACACCATGTGGATATGTCATCGTTATTCTCAGGAGCTCGACGTATTTCTGCTGCTCCTGTGATTCTATGGTTCCTCCGCTCTTTGCTTCTGCTCCTTAGTGTTCGTAACATCAGGAAGTCAGGGCGGTAACGAAGTGAATAGGAGGTCTTGCAGAGTCATCAGATCCAGGTGCTTCCAAGTGTAACTAGTCGAGTATAAGTCAAACACGTTTCTTAAAAAACACGGAGGAGATTTCTGCTGTTCAGCAGGGGATGAGTTCGGTACTGTTGTCTTTCAAGAGCGAAATAAAAATTACTGCTCTTTGTTCACGAGCAGGAATACTTCTATTGCTAGTCTTCTTGTTAGGATGAGGGGGATCTTAGACCGGACTTGAAATTATTGTAGATAGATGCAACTTTGCACATAGTTTATTCGTCCAGTGTTGGGATAAACATGTCTCAGTCACAGCAATAAAAAACCTTTCCACAACACCTATCCACTTCTCTCTGTTGGTAAGAGGATTAAAATGATGATTCAAGGGACAAATATGTGCTATTAATTTGTGATTAATCGCAATTAAATATATTCATTAATTAACAGCACTAGTCTTATTATAGTATTTATTTTGTTTTACCAAAAAAAAGTTAAAAACAAGAACAAGTTCATATTGGTTGGGCCAAGTCTTGAGTGTTTGAAATAAAAACCTCAAGATTTTATTTTTTTTGTAATTAATTCCTTGAATGTCAAAGAATCTAAAGTTCAGGTAAAAATGAAACTTTTACATCAATGTTGGTGAATAATTCTCAACATGAAACTTAAATACAGGTCGAAAAAAATCTGTGGGAAACTGAGTTTTGACGCTCGTGCTGACGCTGACACTTTCACTTTCACTTTCACTTTGACCTCTTGTGTAAAGAGCAGAGCACTCACCTCTTTGCGCAGACACAAGGGGGCGATCTCGCGCTCCACCTCCAGGCTGCAGACGGTGTGGCGGCGAGCGCGGCGAGACGAGCGGTGGAAGTGATGGGCGAGCGAAGAGGATGAGGAGGAGGAGAGGCTGGGGGGGGCGGGGTGCTGCTGCTGCGGGGGCTGGGAGCGGCTGCGCGGCGGCAAGTGGAAATGTGCCGTCCAGGGCGTGTCCAGGGGGCGGAGCCAAGGGATCTCGGGACACGACTGGCTCCGCAGCAGCCGCGTCGAGCTGCCCTGCTTGAACATGGCGTCGTCCGCCGTCGCCGCAGTAACGGCCTCGTCGACTTTACGGGATTTAAACACGCGGCACTTCCTCTTCTGAGGGTCCGTCCTCCGCGTCCTCCGTTTACTGACTCCGCCCTCGACGACCTCACTGACCTCACCGACTCCGGCGTCCTCCTGAAGATTCTGCGGCGCCGCGACACCGCACACGTCCCCAGCGTCGTTTTCAGGCGGCAGCGTCATTTCGAAGTAGACCTTTTCCGTGACGTTCCTGCCCTTCGAGCCCGCGTCCTTCGCCGCCGTTTTGGTTTTCTTGGTCTTGCGTTCCGTCTTCTCCGTGATGGCCGCGGCTCTGCTCTCCTCCGCCCTCGCCTCTTCTCTGCTCTTTCGTTTCTTACTCGAGTTCGTGACGGTTTCAGGCAGAGGAGCTGTGAGGGCTTCAGGAGACTCCACTTTACCTCCTGTGGACGTTTGCAGACTTAAACTTTTGACCCTTTTTACCGTCCTGGCTTTGGCCTTCACGCTCTTCTGATCATCGCCGTTTAGAATCATTAAACTACTTCGATTACTCGCCGTTAAATTCAGCTCCTGTTCCACTTTACTCTTCTTCGTCGCCCGGGTCACCGCCTTCGTGACCGCGTCCGCCATCTCCTCTTTGCGTTTTGGTTTTCGTTTTAACGCAGGCTCCGCTGTTTTCTTCCTCTTGCCCGTTTCTTCGCTCAAATTCAACGTCCGTTTGACCTTTTCCAGCCCGGCGTCGTCCAAAATCGAGCGCGACGTCGGGGTTCGGTCGGCCTGATTTTCGTTTAAATGATCTTTGAAAACACAAACGCTTTCTCCACCCATTTCCAAGTCCGTTTTGGTCAGAGCGAAGTCACAGTCTGTGTACACTTCGGTTTTGATTTGGGGCGTGGTTTTGTTTTGGCGCGTCCTCGCACTCCACCTCACGTCCTCCTCCGCTCTGCACACCGTCGCCGCGGTAACAGCAGTGGCGGGCGTGGCGGGCGGCGGTTGCGTTCACCGTATCCGAGGCACTTTGGGTGACTAACGCTTCAAGTTCTGTTTCGGGAGTTCGCCAAGGCACGACATCATCGACCTCGGCTCTCAAAACGTCCACCTCGTCCTCCTCGGACTTCTGCAGGTCTGTCAGCTGGTTCCCCCTTTCCGCAGATCCGACCCGGTCCTCCGCAGACGTGCACCGGCTCTCGTCCGCGCTTTCGGGCTCGTTCGGCGGCGCCTCGCTCTCCGTGCTGTTGGACTTGAACAGTTTCACGGGGCTCATGACGATCTCGGTGAAGGACGCCATCTTGGACCTGAAGGACTGGAAGAGCGGCCCAATGACCCAGCCTTTGGGGGCGGAGTCGGAGGTCGCAGCGCGGGAGGGGTCAGAGGTCACCCCGTGGCAGGGGACGGTGCGATTCAGGGACGAGACGCGGGGAGAGATCGGAGGACGGCGAAGTCTGGAACAAAAAGAGAAGAAGAATACGAGTCGTTTTATTTTATGTCCAGAGACGAGTTCTAAGAGACGTCACCCAGAGTTCAGCTCCAAATGAAGCTCATTGAGGCCAGGAGGTATTAATTAAAAATACATACACATCGTACAATACCCAATAACAGTCGGGTTTCAATTAACCACTGGGTCTCCTTTAGACGCCAGGCGCGGGTGAATATTTTAATAAAAAACTCTGGTTCTAAATAAACGGTGAGTCGTGGTTGGAACAACAAGACGCAGGACTGAGGCTGTCGTCGTTTCTCACGTTCCACACTCGCTGCGTCATTTGTTTTAACTTGTTAAAACTTTCTGCGTGTTGCGGGAGGGTTTAATTATTTAGTGTAATTCAGAAGTCGCTTTCAAACATGGAGAAACTCTTTGCTCCGGAGAAATTTTGTCATAATATTTCAAACAAACGAGTTTGCGTCTGTACAGAAAGTCGTCGATGTCGACCCCACTGCCGTCGTTCTGCTGCTGAGGAGCTGCTCAAACTCCCATTTCCTTTTTTTAGTTTTTTTATATTAATTGATGATTAGAGCAGCAACAACACAAAGAGCCTGACGTTTACAGTGACAGGAGCAGTTTGAGTTCAGGTCAGTCTTGACGACTCCAGACTGATCATGTGACTCAGAATAAGGCTGTCAGATATAACAGCGACGCCTCCGCTGAGCTGTGCCGTAAAAACTGTAAATTATAGTCAGATTGGTTAAAATAATTTTCCATATTTTTTCCATATTTTCCATATTTTTGTGAGGAAAGAATTAATCTCCTGCCCCAATCCACCGCCTGGTCTCAAATAAAAGCCTGGTCTCAAATAAAAGCCTGGTCTGTTAAGTGACTGAAACAAATAAACTCCTCGGTTATAATTTGGTATTTTATGGTACATGACAAACAACAAAATACAGAACACACAACATGACAGATTTAATGCCAGGAGGAGACAGACACAGAAAAAGAAAAAACCTTAAAGAGTGACACTGTTCCACTGTACAAAACTATTCACAGATCTACAACTTTCATTTGTTTACACTTTTACAAACAGTGGATAGGTAGCTTAATTAAAACAGGAAAAAACAAAGAGGTACAAGAGAATTTATATTTGTGAATATAAAATCTGCCAAATATAAGTTAATTGCAAATTTATTTATTTTTTTATTTTTTTTTTTTAGTGTAAATTCTTGTTTTGGTAATTGTGAATTTCCAGAAAAGATGACTCATTGTTTCGGGATATTCTTTACAAAAAGTGCAGTTAGGGTGAATAGGTTTAACATATTTTAGTTTAAATTTATTAGTTGGTTACTTTATTCTAAACTGCGACTGCGAGAATCACAGAAACTCTCACGCGACACAAACGATTTCACGCATGACCATAAATTTGGCTTTAGGCTGAATTCTTCTCACAAACTGAAAACACTCTGTTCCACATTGTGATGTCATGTGGTGATACAGGAAGTGCTCCACTGTGTTTTTAAACTCCATACCCCTTCACTAGAATCATCTGGATCATTTCAGTCCTGGAGTTGCCGATTTCTACTGACTTTAGGGGTGTATAAAAATATTGAAATATCAATATATCGCATGGTTTAATGTGATGATACAGTGTGGATATCGTGGGCTGCTGTATCGATCCATCACCAAGAGGATTTTTAGGCATATTTTACTAAATTATTTTGTGTAAGAACTCTGCTCCTTTCAAGTTTGTGTAAAATAGAACCTTTAATATGTTGATGACTTTAAACAAATGAAAAAAAACTCACTTGTCATGGATGGTTTCTGGAGCGACGCTGAAATTCAACTGCTCCTGAAAAACATGAAAAACATGAAAACACATTAATCCTGTGCGTCATCTCCTCCGTCCTGCACACTCAGACCATAAAAGGACAGTCTCCGCTGGAGTGGACATAATTTCTCCTTTTCAGAGATTCCAAAGTGTTCAGTGAAGCTCGTGCGGCCGTGTGAGTGCGAGTCCTTTTGTGTGTGGAGTTTGCATGTTCTTCCCGTGTCTCGTCTGCATTAGAAGGTTGTGGGTTCAGATCCAGCTGCAAACTCTGGAACAGTTTTAATCCTGATGCCGTTGAGCAGATCAGTTCTGTCATGTAGCTCTGACACTGAGGCACTTTACTAAATCTCACCAACTTGGAGCGCACTTTAAGAAACAGGAGCAGGTGGAGGATGTTTTTAAAGATTCTATTTGACATACGACCATCTAGAAAACTTTAAAAACATAATTCACAATCAGTACAGTCTAAAAAAATGAACTGCCATGGAGAATAACAAATTACTGGAACGGGAAATGGAAAACTTGCTCCTGGTATTAGGGATATAGTAATAATAATCATCTTTATTGTCATTGTTTATTTCTTGTCTTCTTTATTTGAATGTGGTTTGAGCCTTTTGTTGAGTTGCTTTTATACCTTTTTAGTTTTAATAATAGTATATTATTAATGTTATTTTTATTTCTGTTATTATCATCAATTCTTTCCTCGTGGATGTGTATTAAGTCTGAGTGTGTTTGGATGTGAAGTGTGAAGTCTGACGTCCTTGGGTTCGTCAATAATTAATACATTTCTATAAATATTTGACATACGATATTTTAAACTATTTATTTTTATTATTATTTGTGCTGCTGATGACCTGGACCTGATCTATTTTTAAAAAAAATAACAAATAAATCCTGGTGGTGCTTGTTCTTGCTGTGTCCTGTGGCGGCTGTGTCCTGTGGGGCTGTGTCCTGTGGGGCTGTGTCCTGTGGGGCTGTGTCCTGTGGCTGTGTCCTGTGGGGCTGTGTCCTGTGGGGCTGTGTCCTGTGGGGCTGTGTCCTGTGGGGCTGTGTCCTGTGGGGGCTGTGTCCTGTGGGGGCTGTGTCCTGTGGGGGCTGTGTCCTGTGGGGGCCTGTGGGGGCTGTGTCCTGTGGGGCTGTGTCCTGTGGGGGCCTGTGTGTGTCCTGTGGGGGCTGTGGTCCTGTGGGGGCTGTGTCCTGTGGGGGCTGTGTCCTGTGGGGCTGTGTCCTGTGGGGGCTGTGTCCTGTGGGGGCTGTGTCCTGTGGGGCTGTGTCCTGTGGGGGCTGTGTCCTGTGGGGGCTGTGTCCTGTGGGGGCTGTGTCCTGTGGGGGCTGTGTCCTGTGGGGCTGTGTCCTGTGGGGCTGTGTCCTGTGGGGGCTGTGTCCTGTGGCTGTGTCTGTGGGGGCTGTGTCCTGTGGGGGCTGTGTGGGCCTGTGGCGTGCTGTGTCCTGTGGGGGCTGTGTGTGGGCTGTGTGTGGCTGTGTCCTGTGGCGTGCTGTGTGTCCTGTGGGGGCTGTGTCCTGTGGCGGCTGTGTCTGTGGGGCTGTGTCCTGTGGGGGCTGTGTCCTGTGGGGGCTGTGTCCTGTGGGGGTGTGTGTGTGCCTGTGGCGGCTGTGTCCTGTGGGTGGGGGTCTGCCGGCGGGACAGTCTCTGCGCGAGCATCTAGCGTGTCTGGATTAATGTGCGTCATATACGCAAATTTGGAGTTTCCCACAGCCCTATAAGGCCTGTAATATTTTACTGCATATCAGATCTGTGGAGCAGAATGGATTGTTTTAGGTAAAAACGGGACAGCTACGGAAAACTTGTCCCTGCGTGCCCCTATGATGTTTGTCGCCCTTCTTTGGCGTTGGGGTTGTAGAATCCTTTCCTAATGAGATGCTTTGAGAATACTAAATTTAAGCCTACCTGTGTCAGCAACGCAATCTCAAATGATCAAGAGTCTTGTGCCATTTTTAGATCTCTTTTGTTATTGCCCACACTCAAGATGATCCGACACGATTTACTAACAGTAAATAAAGCTATTATATTAGTCAATGAGTTAATCACGAGAAGTGAGTATTCATATTACTCCCTCAAAAGTGAATACTACAAGAAAATGATTAAACTAGTAAACATAGGTTCTTTCCCCTGCCTGAGCTTGCAGTTTGCGACGTGTAGGGAAGATATGGCCTAATAAACTATTACGTGATTAATATCCTCTCGAGTGATTTTTTGTGACTCTCCATTGAGGAGTTAATGATGGTGAAAGTTTATATATCATACCCTGTGAAAACATCCCCAGACATAGAGTAACAGTAGACTTATACTGTTCGTGCCCGTTACAAACATTTCACAGGCATAGTTATTCGATAGTAATAGATGAGTGTTATTTCATTGGACTTAACCAAACATCTTGACCCAGAAAAGTACACCCAATGGATAGCTTGTTTTCTAGAAGTGGACCGTTAGAGAATTATGTTTGCAAATAGATTTATGTGAGATAGTGAAACCTACATCGGACTAGATCCCTCACGTGCCATGCTACACAACCCAATTTATAAACCAGTTCACACGAGTCACAAGCTTAGTATATTTACTCAGCGCGAAACATATAAGTAGTTGTAACTTTGTTGTTAATCTTTATTGGACTGGTGGGGCTTCTTGAATAAGGAATAGTTCAGTTTCTATGTTCCACGAGTGACCCATATAGCCCAAATAGGAGAAGTTGCTCTCAAGATCCCAGAGCCCTCGTTAGAGAGTGCGTGATTGTTCAAGAAATTGTGATTGCAGATCACATATTGAGGCGTGCATTCATATATCTTTATATCTCGCTTAATAAATACAATTTTTGCATATCAAATACTATTTTTATATGATTAAGTACGAAAGACTTTTCAAAACCTATATTCTTCTCAAGAAATTATTGGATTTCTATAAATTTAATTAATATAGTTCTTTAAAATAATCCAAAAGTGAACCACCCATGACTTGCTTCTGTTCTCATGAAATTTTTTCCCTCTGGTTGTTCAAGCTGCTAACAACCGTCACTCATGTTAATGAGTGTATGTCTATGTCTCTTACTTAACTATGGCCGACAAACAAATTTGCCTGAAACTGCAAAAATCCCATAGTATACTACTCTAAAATATAACTCCAACTCAACATGTGAAGAAAGCCTGTGCTGGATTTATTTACCCAATGCCTTGTTTTTTCTGGCGTCAAAAATTTTCCGTAAACCAAAAGCAGTCTCCCACTTTAACTTGGAAAGGAAAGAGTAATTTTACTGCGTTTACACCTTTGAAAATACCGAGCCTGAATCTAACCCAAACTAGTCCCTAGTTCAGTGTAGGACCTCGAGTCCAAACAGACCGAGTCCAAGTGCCTAAAGACCGAGACGAGACCGAGTCAAGCGCCTTAAAGACGAGCGAGACGAGTCCAAGCGCCTTAAAGAGAGGCGAGACCGAGTCCAAGAGCTTTAGAAGACCGCATAAAGGGCTGAATAGGGGGTGGGTGGGTGCCTGATATGCGTAACGCGCCTCACAGCGTCCCTCTCTCCTACATACAGCATCACTCGACAGCCCCAACCTGAACTGATGAACCCTAAATGACCAAGCATCTCAGTTAGTTTCCATGCACTGCTGTAAAGACAGATGACAGGACGCAAACCTGGGAGAGTCTCATTCGGAGCCGTGTGGCCCTTTGATGTAAAGAGACCTCGTTGGGGACGAGATGCGCGAGTTCGCTAGCGTGTCTCAACTTAAAGCGACGAGTGAACTCTCGTATGTCTGCCTCTTTTACAGGTGACCGAAGTCAAGCGCTCCTTTGTTATCAAGACACATAGTACTACTAATAGAGCTAAGAGCATTAAGCGATTGTTAGCATTAACAGGGCTTACATGAACTAAAATGTGTCTCTTTTTCGAGTGACAATTGTAACAGACTGTGACAGTCTTGTAACACTGTGTATTCTGGAGCTACTTGACTCTCCAAATTCACATGTTGGCATCATGTATTTTATATTTAGGTCTCATGGAGTTGAACTTTATTGCATGTTGAGATTAAAGGTTTTTTTTATAATTTCAGCACATTTTTAAAAATTGGTTTAATTTAATAGTTTGATTCAAACATGTATCTGAACATCAGTTCACACACTCTTCAAGGCTCTTTTCAGAACACTGGACAGCTCTCATTCACAAACATATTGTACTGTATATGATCAGTGAATTCATCTTTTGTTTTCAGTACTACAGGTCTGTTCGCATGTGGTTAAGGGCTTTGGCTTTAGACAATATAGAAATCCAACAAAAAAGGTTCAGTTTGTGGTCACCCCAACCGCGCCACAACAATGGAATACGATAAAGATGTTTATTGACGGTGGACAGACGTAGAGGTGGGGGTACAATCTCCAATCAAAAATGGTCGCCCAACTGATTCAGAACCCCCCCCGATGACGATATCTTCAGACTGAAGGATGGGCGAAAGACAGGGGTAGCAAGGAGGAGGTCGAGAGAGCTGACATGGACGGTGTTGTTGTGATAGGCCATTTAAATAGGGCTTCTGGGTAATTGAAGGCGTGGTTGAGATAAGATGTGGTTGGCTGGAGAGGTGTGGTCCAGCTCCTCAATCTCAGTTAAATCATATTATCTTCATTAATTGTAAGGTGCCTTCAAACTTGCTTCAATAAATTGGGACAAAATTGTAACTAAACCCAGGACTAAACCAGGACAGGCCCATCAGTCTGGTCTCAAACCAAGATAAATTAAATTTAAAAAATATATATATTGTTTATTGCACTGAAAAATCTTTACTGTGCATGGGCTTGCATCTCCATAAACCTGACTTTTACTTAGCCTACTTGTTTCTTATTGTTTAACTCTTCCTCTTGTCCCTGTGCTCTCTTGCAGGTTAGCATTGTATGTTGTACGAGTACTTGCTGCACGTGGGAGCACAGAAGTCTGCACAGACGTTCTTATCAGAGGTGAGCTGCATTCACTCTGTCCAGTTTTAGTGTGACCGTTAAACATTGCTTCCAGTAAGTC